AAAAAAATTTTTATTGAAAAAAATGTAGGAAACAGCATATCTTAAAATGAAGTGGAGATCTTCTTTAAAGGGTAAAAACTCATCCAATTTTATGTCTTACAGGGCTTTTACTGAGTTCATTATTGTATGACTGTATTAATTCAACTGTGAACCTAAAAATTTACAACCACCTTTGAAAGAGATGTATCCTTGCTCTGGAATGTGTTACTGAATGTGTTAAAGCTGTAATGAAATGCTTCTAAAAAAAAAAAAACTTGAAAATAAAATTTGAAAATTAAAAAAAAAAAAAGAAAGAAACTGAAGACTTAAGAGTTACAAGTGAAATACCAAGTTCCTTTCAACTTTCAAATCTCTTACATTGTTAGAGAAGGGCTTCCCTCTCGTAGAACAAGAACCAGTCTTTAGTGGTGATGTGTGGAAGAAGAGGAGATTTGCTTCTGGAATGTTGTACCTGTGAGGCTTAGAATTCTCTTTTGGGAAGGTACCTAAATCAGAGATACAGAGATACTGGTGAATTAGAGGTTCTTACCAGGAGTTTAATGATGAATCTTTGGACATTAAGTATTCTTTCTCTCTCTCTCCCTCTCCCTCTCCCTGTCCCTCTCCTTATCCCCCTTTACCCCTCAGTAGAATCTTACTGTGTAGCCCAGGCTGGCCTTAAAATCACAATTCTTCTGCTTCAGCCTCCTGAGTGTTGGAATTTTAAATGTGTATCGCTGCACCTGGTTTATTAAACTCTTAAAACTACATACTTGGCCTGTGAGTGTAGTTCAATAGCAAAGAGTGTGTATGAGGCCCTGATAACAAAAATGAAACAACTATATAAATTAAAGATATAAAAATTATGTGGCAGATATTACCTGTCTTTTTTTGGAGAGATGATAACAAAAATACTCACTTTAAAGATTCTTGAAAAGAATGCTCAAAAGATAAGAATTTCAGCTATAAGGTATATGTATGTATGCATCTGTATATGTTTTTTGTACCAAGCTATTATACATTGCCTTAAAATTTACTTACATCTGATAATCAGTGATAATTATGATTATTATACATTTATAACATACAATATTTAATACTTTATAATTTTGTATTACAAGGTGTTTCTGGTATAATATTCATTTGTTAGGAATTATAAAAGAACCCATAAAATTATAAACAACCCATTTTGTTTTAGAATATATTGTTCCTTGCAGAAACTCGTTCAATTTTATGTTTTACAGGGCTTATACTGAGTTCAATATTGTATAACTGTATTAATTCAACTGTGAACCTAGAAACTTACAGCCACTTGTGAAAGAGATATACTCTTGCTCTGGAGTGTGTTACTGAATATGTTAAATCTGTAGTGAAATGCTTCTAATCATGTAGTTGTTAAAAATTAAAAAAAAAATAAAAAGATTATATCTGACCTGGAAAAAAAATTATGAACAACCCATATGTAAAACATATCAAGAGATGTATATATTTGACTCTCAATCTAAATTTCTTTAGCAGTATAAGGAGTATTTGTTTCTTTTAGTTAGTTGTCTGCATTCTGTACTTACCTTTTAATGTACGTATTCAGTACTAGAAGAATTTTTTTCCTATCATTTTTCATAATTAAATTTTACTAAAAAGACTGAAATGTTTTCTTAGTGTCATTTCCTACAAAATTTGAATTAATTACAAGCCCTAGATGCCAGACAAAGATTTGATCTTCACATTAAATTTCATTCAAAGTATTTAAAAGAAAACTGAGATTCATGTGTTTTAAGTTTTATATATTTTAAATGTCATGTGTTAATAGATAAACTGATGGGCCTTACTTTAAGGTGGTGCACGCCTTTGATTCCAGCACTCAGGAGGCAGAGGCAGGTGAATCTCTGTGAGTTCAAGGCCAGCCGGGTCTACATAGTGACCAGGCCATCTGGGGCTACAGGGAGATCTGTCTCAAAAAGGCCCCCCGCAAAAAAAATGCACTGATGGATTTCCAGTTGTTTTTGGTTAATAGTAATGATACATTTGTCATTCTAATAAAAATTTAGTTATATAAATGTTATATACACACTGTTTCATTTTGTTTTATTTTTTGTTTTGCTCCAGGGTCTCACTTTGTAACCCTTGCTGGCCTGGAACTGCTATGTAGAACAGGCTGTCCTCAAACTCAGAGATCCTCCTGCTTCTCTTTCTAAGTACTAGTATTAAAGGTGTGCACCACCATGCCCATCTAGTTGTATCTTGTAATATTTTTCTTCAAATAATACAGCTGTAGGTGATCTGTAGTTTAAGTTCTAAAGTATAAATACAGACATAAGCTTATCCAAAACTGTAATATGGTAAACAATTTTAAGTAAGCCTTATTAAGGTGTAATTACGTACTGAAACTTTATTTAAAAGTATGTATTGTATTTGCATCTTGATTTTTTTTTAAGTGGTTCAAGAAAAATCATATATCACAAAGAAAACATGGTAAAAATGTTAAGATTTTCCGGGTGTGGTGGAGCACACCTTTAATCCCAGCACTTGGGAGGCAGAGGCAGGGGAATCTCTGTGAGTTTGAGGCCAGTGTGGTCTACATAGCAAGCTCCAGACCAGCTAGGGCTACAGGTGAGACCCTGCCATTAAAAAAAAAAAAAAAAAAAAAAAAGATTTAGGGAATTCTGGGTAAAGAAAATGAAAATTTGTTACAGTTCTTAGCAGCTTTTCTCAAAGTTTGAAATTATTTCAAAATAAAGTATTTGCAAGATGAAAAAAACATGGAATATGTTTTTTAGTATATTCATTGAATTGTATAAGCATCATCTGATCCCCCCCACCAAAATTTTTTTGGGGGCCTTTTTTGAAACAGGGCGTCCCTGTAGCCCCATCTGGCCTGGAACTTGCTATGTAGAACAGGCTGGCCTTGAACTCACGAGGTCCACCTGCCTCTGCCTCCCAAGTACTGGGATTAAAGACGTGCACCACCATGCCTGGCCCAAAAAATAGTTTTAAGTTTCATTGTGTTTATTTTCCTATCTTTCCTCTTTACTTGATATCTAAGAGTTGATACATCTTTACCTAAAAAGATCTTCACAGTTTTCTTGAAGTTTTTAAATGTTGAATTAAAGTAAGGTCTGTCATAAGTAAGCACATACAGAGTGTGGTTGTGGTACTTAAAATGGAAACAATCATTTGAAAAAGGAAAAAACATGAACCACTTTTACACTCTAGTACATGTCTTTTGTTGGAGCTTTTGTGTACAGTCTTGGTATTGCTACACATATGCAAAGCTATGTCTACTTCTTAAAACTTGAATTGAAGAAGGAAGTGCTTTGCACCAACATGGCAAAGAACTTCATTTGAAGAACATTTCTGTTTCTTCCTTTCATTGTATATGATAGCTTTCTTCAAGAGATAGAAACCCTCTAGAGAGCTGCCTTGATTTTAAAAAATATGCATTGAAGCAGTATAGTCAGTTTTAGAGTGTTTTGATAAAGTGAAGTAATAAAATAATTTTTGAAGTAGTTTTTATTTTTGTTACTGATATGTGATACTCTCTGGCCTTTTCACTTAATTGTAACGTATAACCTCTTACTAAATGCAGATATAACTGCTCAGAAGTAACCAGAACATATAGTTCATCCATACTGTTAAAGAACTGGGAAAATTAGGTTGCACTGCCATTATATATTGGTTTTTATACTGAATGTACTAATGAAACATTAATCTGATTAAGTACTAAAATACACAGTAATATGTATGTACAACTGAGTTTTTGTCTAATCCTGATTAAGAATGACCCGCAGACGGGTCTGTAAATGGACAAGTTAAAATGAGACACTATAGGGGAAAAAATTTTAATCCAGAGAAACAAGTTTTTCATCTGTAATCCCAGCACTCAGGAGGCTAAGGAGGATTACCATGAGTTCAAGTCCAGCTAGCCAGGGCTACATAACAAGACCCTGTTAAAAAAAAAAAAGGAGGGGCTGTTATATCAGTAGGTACAAATTATTCTAAAGCATTTTCTACAAAGTGTTATATACAGCAGTACTAATGAGTCATAAGATTAAATAAAATATTTTTCTCATATTGTTTTGCTTATTTTTCTATAGGAAAAGTAGCCATCAAAAAAGAAGACTTGTGTAATCATAGTGGCAAAGAAACTTGGTTTTCCCTACAGCCTGTTGACTCCAATTCAGAAGTTCAGGTAAATATTAAGGGTTAAGTAATGCAGGAGATTGTGATATAAAGAAAATAAAAGGAAATGAACTAATTATATTAGTTCATACAGTTAGAGCTTACATTCTAGTACCAACTACTTGTAGACTTCTGAGTAGTAGAAAGTTGAACGAAAATAGCTTTGCGAGAGGATACAAGAATAATGTCTGGTAGGCAAGATGGCTCAGTAGATAAAGGTGCTTGCCGCCAAACCTGAGGACCTGAGTTTGAGCCCTAGAACCCATATAAAGGTGGAAGAAGAGAACGAACTCACACAGTTGTCCTCTCACCTTCACATATGTGCCCATACCATACATGTACACACACATAATAATATTTGTTCTAGTCTGCCTTTGGTTGCTGTGACAAAACACTCTGACCAATACCAACTTGGGGAAGAAAGGGTTTTTGTCTTACATCTCCCAGGTCATAGTTCATCAAGTTGACAACTGAAGCTTTTAGCACAATATAATAAAAATGTTTAAAGTAGATATGAACACTGTACAACATAGGCATCAATAGAAATGCCACAGTAAAGTCCATTAATAAGTGTAGTTGCTATGCATTAAGAATTATAAGAAAGATGGAGAGATGGTTCAGTGGTTAAGAGCACTGGCTGCTCTTGCAGAGGACCCATGTTCGATTCCCAGCACCCACATGGCAGCTAACAACTAAATGTGCCTCTAGTTCCAGGGGAGTCCAGCACCCTCTTCTGATCTCCATGGGCATTGCATGACACAGGTGCACTTAACACACATGCAGGCAATACATTCATACACATAAAATAAAAATAATAAAATTTTTAAAAAATTGTACACATGTATGCATATAGTGTGCACATATGGTTTGGGAGGTTTTGTTTATCTGTTTTTGTTTTGTGACAGGGTCTCACTATGGCTGGGCTAGAACTCTAAATCATCCTGTTCTGCCTCCTGAGTGCAGGAGGTGAGTGTCATCACACCCAGCAGAGGACAGTTTTTTTTCCTTCCCTTTATCTCTTGAGTCTCAGTAGCAAAGTGTTACTTTTTTTTTTTTTTTAAGGGAAACCGTTTTAAAGAAAAAGATAAGTTTGATTAACTCTTATGTTGAGAATCCATAGAAATCTGATTTTACTTGTTCTGATTAGGATGCTCTGTTCCCTAATAAACTAGACTTGGAAAACTGTTATTTACTTAACCATGCCTGGGTTCACCGTGCACTGCCTTCACCTCCCTCTTCCTATTTACCTCTCTTTTTATTTGAGAGGGTATATTATGCTTTTTAATTTTTTTCTTTCCTCTTGACAAAATAAAAGGCCTCGTACCAATTCTATATGTGAACAAAGATGTATATTTAGTTTTATAGTTGAAGTGTCTAGAAACTTTGAGTTGCTGTGATTTAGAAATTGTGTCTATCTAAAGAGAATCTCTGGGGGTGAGCATAACCCTATTTATTTCTAAAATATAGTAAGGATTGTGAAATCATTTCTGAGGGCACACTGCAAGTTTGATTCTTCTTAAAGAAGTTATAACTTGCCACTGTGACACAGACAAAAGTTTAAGACAAGAAAGGAACATACCCACACATAATTTGCAAGTAAAATGAGTATCCATTTCCCTTACAACTTTCAAGCATTCTCTGGTTAAATTCTCAAAAAGTTAAGCATTTGTATACTAAAATCCCTTCTGTAAGTACAGCATAGAGTAGATATTTTCATTACTTTATCCACTCTTTCCATTTTAGGATTTTCTTTCCATTTGACCATGATTGTACACATGCCAGTTGTATAGCATTTTCAGTGACCCAGTGAGAAAGTGTGAGGAAGTAGAATGCACTTAAATTAGAAGTCAGAACTCCTCCATAGTATTATATATAGCTGCTTTAGTAACCTTGAACTTTGTTTCTGTAAAAGGATAATAAAAGTTTCCATGTTTGACTCATATTGCATGAGAAGAGTACTTTACAACTTAGTTTTGAACTGAGGGTGCAGCTCAGTTGGTAGAGTGCTTGCCCAGCCTACACAAAGGTATGTTCCCCAACACCACATAAACTAGACATGGTTGTGGACCTGGTGGCACATGCCCGTAATCCCAGCACCTAGGAACTGAAGACAGGAGGATCTGAAATTCAAGGTCACCCTCAGCTACCTAGAGTTGAAGCCCAACCAGGCTACATAAGACCTTGTCTTAAACAAAACAGAAACGTAATTTCTCCGCAAATTAAAATATGTTTATTATTGCCAGTCAGTCTAGGGGCTGTTAGTCTAATATGCCTTTACTAAATGGTAGATTATCGGTTCTTTTTTTTTTTTTTGGTCTTTCTGTCTTTTTGTCTATTTGAGCCAGGAGTCTCCATGAAGCTCCAGCTGGCCTGAACTCTCTTTGTAGACCAGGTTTGCTATAATCTCAGAGATCTGCCTGTCTCTGCCTCCTGTGTGCTGGGATTAAAGGTATGTCCAGCTTCTTTCTTCATTTTTGATGCGTGATTTAATACGTTTACCATACACAGTCCACAGTGAGAAACTTGGTAGGCATTAATCTTTTTGAAGACAAGGGCATACTGTGTGCCTGAGACTGCCTTCACCTTACATACTTGCCTGGTTTTGGGATTGTAGGCAGGTACATCCACACTGTACAGCTTGTCTTTTTAATGATTTAAACAAAAGGCAAGTTAAGAAGTACTTTGAAAGTTTGATCCGAAATGAAATGTGAAGATTCTTACAAGATTTAGTTTAAGTGTATTCTCTTTTAAAAAAATTTTTATTATTTTTATTTTATGTATATGAATGTATTGCCTGCATGTATGCAAGTGCACCTGTGTCATGTAGTACCCTCAGAGGCCAGAAGAGGATATCAGGTCCTCTGGAACTGGAGTTAACAAACAGTTGTTAGCCTCCATGTGGGTGCTGGGAACTGAACCTGGGTCTTCCTGGGTCCTCTGCAAGAGCAGCCAGTGCTCTTAATTGCTGAGCTGTCTGTCCAACCCCTTAAGTGCATTCTTATGACTAGTATAAACTTGCTGACAGATTTAAAGTTTTTAATTCTGAAAATGTAGATATCTATATAGAATATTTTTTGCATAATTCTTGGAATTTGGTGGTGCATGCATAAAATCTTCATTTCAGAAACATACAAATTTTTGAAGTAGCATTTACCTATTATATATAGTATTAGCATTTTAAATTTTGGTACAGATTAGTTTCATTGCCATTAATTATTAACCTTTACAGACTTTTATCTTAAATGACAATTAGTAGGATTTAAATACTATTTAAAATGGATTTTTAGAAAAATTTATTTATTTTTACACCCACTTCCCAGATAGCACCCCCCCCTTAGCCTGCCTCCCCCCTCTAGATCCCTTATACTCTGATATCCCTGCTACTGTCTGCTGTGTTGTCAGCACCCCCAGCCATTCCCCACTACTTGCCCTTCTTGTGAATCTAGTCAGCCTATCTAGAGGTCTTTGTTTTAGGAGGGTCAGCTGTTCCATCTAGCAGCAATCAGTTG